AAACTATTGAAACAGTTTTTATAAAAAAAAAAAAAAAAAATCATTTTGCAATAGTTTTTAATTATTTTAATAAAAACGTTGTGAAACATTTTTTAACAATTAACATTTCGCAATGTTTTCAACTTTGTAACAGAACGTTTTGATCTGATCTGATCTGGATCTGATCTGAATCCGCTCGAATCAAATCCGATCTGATCTGAATTCTGGCTTTATAAATTTATAAGAAAGAGGACTTCTAATAATTGCCATTCAGTTTTTTTTTTATATTTTTTGTATAAGTTGGAATGAATCTTATTTGTCAAAATGCTTGGTAATCCACTTAATTTGGCATGCAAATCCAAATACTTGGGAGTTAATATTTTGTTAACTTGGACATGTTGCCTTTCTATCTGATTGCAAATCAATTTAAATTGCAGTAGGTAATAGTTGACATAAATTAGCCCTAAAAAAATATCACAATGAAGTGTGAGCAAGTATAATATTATAAAAATAATGAGATTATGCAGTTATCTCAATTTCACGCTGTTCACATTTAATAAAGTAAGATCCTGCTTTATACCTATCTTCTATGCTTTCATCATTATCATGACCTAACTTGCATAATAGGCATGATGTCTCATCAGTAATGCCATAATAATCAAAATTTTCACTACTAAATTCTCTATATAAATTTGGATATTGATCCAATGTCTTGTTTTGAAAATAGTAGGTGCAGTCATGAGTTGAATTTATCTTAGGAATTGGTTGAGATGCAGGTGAAATATTTACTCGCTCTAGATTTTGAAGAAGTTTGTTCTTCTGATGTATTAGTAAGTGACAACTCAGAATTTTCTTATCACTTCCTGAACCGAGATCAGGATGTGATAATTCGGAAGTTTTTTCATCACTTGGTAAACCATCTTTCGGGCAGACGATTCTATCTTAATGCTGTAATCAACTGGCATATTATTTATAATATACTGAATGTCCTTATTTGTCATTTTGAGATACTGCTAAAGAAAAGGAATGAATTCGATAAATTTTATCCATAAATATTGCGTCAAAGAGCTTCCAGAGTTTCTTAGCCTGCTCGATTCTTTTCCATAAAAGTGCATCAGAAGTATCTGCAGGAAGCTGAGCCCTAACTTCCATATTTAAATTTTACTGACAGCATTGGGTTCCGGATTAACTTGTTTTCAGATGCTATCTCATCTCGTCTCTGGATAAGAACTTTCCCAAATTGACAGTAAACATATAATAGCTTCTTGGACCACACGATCAGCAAAGTCCTCGGCATTGCGAAGTTTTTCATACAAAAGAGAAAAGGTTGATATTCTCATCTCTACTGCTAAAGGATTATGGCTTCGTACTGTTTGCTCTAGGCAAACGTCCAAACAATTCAACCGGCTCACCTATAGTATTGGAACAATTAGTGCTTGAATCATTCTTGGACACTTCCTGAATGAATTTTTCTGCTAATCTCATTGCTAACCCTTTTCTTATTCGCATCATCCAGGAAAGTGTCCATCATCTTTTCCTCTGATGACTTGGAATTGGCAGGTACTGTATCATTTGTTACTATGGGGTCTGCCGGTCTGGTATGTCAGCAGGTTTTTCGGGAGAGGAATCCTTTCGCGGTTGCCTAGAATCTTCTTCCAGCTTTGCAACTCTAACCTTAAGTTCAACATTTTCAGCATCACGCCTGACATTTTCAACATCATGTCTAGTATTTTTCGGCAACAGTATCTATTCTAGCTCCTTGGCTTCGTCATACTTGGCCTTAAACTCAACATTCTCAGCCATAAGTCTGGCGTTTTCTTTCCTAATCAATAACAAAGTTAGCAATAGTTAGTATCGAATAGCGGGAAGGAACTGCCATTTTTGCATTGCAATTTGCAAACGTCTAGGGGCGGGCAGGCATATTTATGCTTTATTCCTCCCTTTAAACACCCGCTGTTTATTTTTCCATTTTACATAGCAAGCAGTTCCTATATATCACTTTATGTAAAATAAAATATCTTTTTGACTTTTTAAACGTGTGTGCATGTTTTCGAGTGTATGATCGTAAATAAATGTTTTATTAATACAGAACGCAGGATGAAAAATAAATACAAATCGGGTCATTACGCCCGTGATACAGGTCGAAGTAAAATAATACAAAAGTTCGGGACTTCACCCGTGATACATGATTTGGGCGAACGTTGTTCGCTGAAATTTCTATGCTAACTTGCCTTCGTATAGGCATTGAGTGGTTTATAGTGATTTATCGATTTGTACAGTAGAAGTTTTTGCCACGTTTATGCTACAGTTATATGAATTGCACGAATTAAAAAATACTATTGATTTTTGCGTTTAGAATTCTCTGACCTTGGGCCAGCGAAAATTGTGACTATAGCTCTGTAAATACAGTATTAATCTATTCAATTGATATTCTTAATAAATCACGGAAATTTTATTAACAGTTTATTATATCAATAGCCCTGTAAAAAATCTGATCCGTGTTTTATCTTTCCATGTTTTTTCCGTGAATGTATCATTTTAATGGAATTTATAGCCTTAAATCATGGAAATTTTCATCTCGCTCATCTCGCTAACACGGATATCCGTGAATGTATCATTTTCACGGAATTTTTACGGAAGACACGGAGAAATAATGGAAATATTCGGATAAAAATTTTTTATAGGGTAGTTGTTTATTATATTAATAGTTTAACAGTAAAGCTATACTTCACGGGTTAGATTTCCAAGTCTTATGACGCTTCTCATTGAGCACTGAATCTCTCTGCTCTTCAAGAAGCCCCCTTGATTTGCACTAACAACTTTCTAACAGGCAACAGGCTCGCGAATATCATCACGAGTTAATGATAATTTCATAAGTGGTATTGGATCAAGCCTCGGTAAACATACACGAACCTCAACGATCCCACTATTATTCTCATCATAATCATTACCTTTTAGAATGACTTTTGTAATTATCCATTCGACTCCTGGAGTTATAAATATCAAAGGAGTTAGTATATTCACGTATTTCATCATTTTGAATCTAAGATTTTGTTTCATTAGCATACCGGTTGAAATAATACAAAACATTTCTTCGTCGTACAAATCAGCATCAGCGTAAGTACGTTTTTTCCTATTGCATTGCATAGATGCATGCGCTTGGACGGAACTCTGGCCAATCCCATGGCTAAGATCCATTTTTTTCGCTTCAGTCACGCAGATAATAATATCAATATCACCTATTTTTATAACCCAATCAAGGGGTCCTTTGCCAAGACTCCCAGAAATTTCGTATTCAGGAATAATCTTTGTCACCACCGAACGTTGATACTACAGCATAGATAATTGATGAAATAAATACACGACATGTGGCCTCGTTTACATATCCGGAGATCTCTGGGGATGCCATATGTTTTCTCAAAATCTCGGAAATCACACTTTCTAAAAGTTCATCTGATATATCACCATTGCGAACTAAATGTTCTGTCGGTAGATTATAGTAATCATCAACTCGCAGACCGAAGAACGTTTTCATTCTTGAATAGGTATACCAACTAAATTGTTGTGCTTTTAAACATAAAAGTATAATGAATATCTGACGAACCAAATAAATAAATATACATATGAACAACAACTCACATGTATCCACGACTATATCCAATTTTACTTTAGGTGCAGAAGTACAAATGATACTAGCTAAATCAACATCGGTGGATATATGAATTGTTTGACTCTCAATTTCCGCCTCGTCTGATTTTTCCTGGAAAGGTGGAACTCGTAGGTGAACTTGAAGTTGTCGTAATAGATTTAGGTTTTTTGGCTTTCGAAATTTTTCTATCCATTTCGACAATAACACGACTTATGACAAGATGCTCGGGTTCTGTCCCATCGGGAAACGTGAAATATTCATAGACTCTTTTCTTCAAACCATTCAAAGACACCATTTCTCGGGTCACTGTCCATTGAAAATTTCTTTTTTTTTTTTGACGGTTACCGTAAATTGCAGTACAATGAACCTCTTTGCGGATCTGTTGGTGGATCAACAATAATGTGCAGGTTTTTTTGAATGGGTTCATCATCAAAGTATTTTGATAATTTATCAACTGGTGATAACTCTACACCACCAAGCTCATCCTTGATGTTGACACTAATTTTACTGACAGCGGTTAATTGTGCACTCTCTTGTTTGGTAGGGATCGACACCTTCCATAGCTTGAGCTTGTCCGCAGGGAAATTGTCGAACTCGGGTGTTATTTCCGCCTTAATAACCTTCTTGAGGTCCCCAACAAACTGACCTTTATCAATATGGACAGGGAAAGCGTTCGCTGTTGTGTATTACCCTTAACAAGACAGAACAAAGTGATAGACATTATATACTGTTTTTTGCGGAATATTATTGGCTCAAAGTGCGGTGCGAAAATTGGGTGAAAAATTCAGCCGTTGCACAGGGTACACGGGTACACGCAAGTGACGCAACCTTGCGGACATCTTCCGAGCTGATTGATGCTAGCCCGGAGTGACGATCATCAGTTCGGATTCCGAAATATGTGTATATTCTCGCCAGACTGATACAAAATCAGCGAAACAGCCGCAGGTAAATCATTCTTGTGAATCGCAGCGATTCAGAAAAAAATGAATTTGCTTATTCTACTGCATATACTTGAAACAAATCGCTATAAAACACTAAAATGACTAGGCTTGTTTTCACTCAATCCGGATATAGTATGACGATCGTAAAAAATTGTCCAGGTTTGAGTTATCTTCCTGAACCCGTCAATTATCATCCTGGATACGATATGGATTACGTTCATGCATATGTTAGAGATTCTTTATACTGTATAAGGGAGCTTATTATAGTAGTAATTATACTTATATTTATATCGATAATAAGATTTATAATGAAATAATCGAAATGGAAAAAGAGGACGCATTATTAGTTGTGTAGCCTGGTCAGACTTTAACTTCTTGGGCGATAAATGTGCGAATTCGATTTGGCCAAGCAGAAGCATAGTGTATATCACCGATTCTGCTTATTTGTGGGGTTTTGAAGAGGTAAGATGGTTAATTCTGTCTATTACCGACCAGAATTCATAAGAGTCGTATGGTTATTTGCTTTTATTGTTGGAAATTAATAAAATTAATAAAAATCAACGATGCGGAACCAATGAAAAAGGAGTATTATGATAAATATGACTATGTCGGAGCTGCGGACTTGTTAAAAGATCATTGGAATCATTCTTGCGCGGTAACTAGAACAAAAGATGGATATGCGCGCCTTATCCAAAAGCAGAAATTACAGGAGGAAACTCACTTCATATTCCAAAAGAGTTTGGAAGGCAGTGAGAAATGACAATACTCCTAACTCCTAAGGAAAAGAAATTTCTAGGTATGCCATATCCTAAGAAAAAAATGACCATGTACTCAGTTCTATTAGGACTTGTTCCTTAAAGCTAACCCTGTTGTGCAGGACTGTCATATTATCGAAGTTACTGAAGACTCTTTTATCAATCAACTTTATCATCAAAAAAGTTATTCGGAACATAAGAGACGACAATTACAAGAAAGAATAAGCCGAGCATGGGAAAAATTCGAGCATACGAAAAACATAATGTTGTGACACTTAAACCCAGGTTCACTAAAGTACAGAAAAATCTTTGTCCTAAATATTACGATTATGATAGGGTGTGTGCACTTGGCGATGCATATTCAATTCTGTGCGAAAGAGTGCAAATTTATAGAAGGATCGGACTGATTGCGCTTAGAATTCTCAGAATGAATGGAATAATGGAATTATCAGAAGTGCGAAATTATCAGAATTGCAGAATTTTTTTTTACTTGCTATAGAATGGCCAGTATATATCTTTTCACACAAATTACTCGAAACAACTAAACAACCTAGTCAGCTTCCTCCTCACTATAAAAATAGATGTGTGGAGACGCCTCATGACTCGGAAACATCCATTATCACTGGAACAGGCAAGTAGTATCCACCTCAAGTCCGCACTTATTGGCCTATGGTTAACATTTGTGGACGATGCAGTGGATATACAGGTCTCACAACCACTACCTCAAGTCTAATCTGGAATTTTTGGTAAGACTTTCTGACCTAACTTTGGAGAGCTAAAACGAGGCAAAACTCAGCAGCAGCATGGCATTTAGGTATGTCAACCAAACAATTATATCCGGTAGGTAAAAATTTCTCACCTTTTAGGTGTAATTTTTTTTGACCTCGCCCAATAATGTCCCAGTCTGGATGTAAAATTTACATCAAGGTGTACGTCTGGGTGTACTGTCCCCTTAATGCTATCTTAGAAATGGACAACATGGATTTTAAACCAATCCTACTATACTTTAGAGGTTATACTTTTTAACTGATTTATTTACCAAATGAATCGCTTTTAAGGTATTATAAAAAATAATATGCTATAAAGGATTTCTGAATCGTGCCAAAGGCATTACAGACAATTCGTGTACTTCATAACCTTGGCACTTATAAATGCAATCTGACATAGCATAAATTTTATGATACCCTAAAAATGATTCTGACACGGTAACAAAGCCCTGTAATACTAATTGTCCGGAGTGAAGTGAAGACGAGAAAAAAACGATCACGTGAATTTCTCTGTCCACCACGTGATCGTCACCTAATGAAATCGCAAATTTTAGTTTTCGCTCCGAACTTACAACGGTTCCCGTTTCCTAGTCTTATTGCATAGCAGGAACGCTTTAAAATATCAAATAAAGCTGTCTTAGATTATATAATGCAGAAAACAAGACGGCGGGGATTGGAGGTGAAATCAGTATAGTAATATATCAGCTGTCCCAGGTGAGGTCCCCTAAAACGTCTTATATTAAATTCTTTATTAAAAATAGAAAAACAAAATAGACTAATAATAAAAAAAATTTTTAAACATTCTTTATTAAAAATAGAAAAACAGAAATAGAATAATAATAAAAAAAAATTTTAAACATCTATATAAGTAGTATTAAAGGTAAAGAATTTAGGATATTTAGGATGTTTCTATTCTTTCAATTTTTTCAATTGTAAGTTTAGTTTTATAAAGAGAATAAATATTATTTAATTTAATTTCCGCATTTTTTATTCCATTATTTAAGGCTTTTTTATACCAAATAATTGCTTCTTCAAGATTTTTATCAATTCCGATACCACCATAATAACATTCACCTAAATTAAAATAACCATATGCATTTTCATTATTTGAAGATTTCGTATACCATTCGAATGCCTTTTTATAATCTAATTTTACTCCTTTACCATACTGATAACAAAATCCCAAATTATTCTGTGCACTTGCATTTCCTGATTCAGCAGCTTTTAAATACCATTCAAATGCTTTCCCATTATTTACATTGGTATTTATTCCATTATCATAACAATAACCTAAGTTACATTGACCTTTTGCACAACCTGCAATTGCTGATTTCATATACCAATCAAACGCTTCCTTTTCATTTTTATCTGTTCCTATACCATAATGATAACAATCTCCTAAATCATTTTGTGCTTTCGGATTTTCACCTTCAGCAGATTTAAAGTACCATTCAAATGCTTTCTTTTGATCTTTGACTGTTCCGATACCATTTTCATAACAATAACCCAAATAATATTGACCTAAAATGCAACCTTTTTCAGCAGATGTTTTATACCATTCAAATGCTTTATTATTATTTTTATCTATTCCTATACCATTTAAGTAACAATTTGCTATATTATTTTGTGCCATTAAATTTCCTGCTTTAGCAGATTTTAAATACCATTTAGCTGCTTCTTTTTCATCTTTACAAGTTCCAATACCATTTTCATAACAATAACCTAAATTATAACGTCCTTTATCACATTTTGTAAAGGCAGATGTTAAGTACCATTCGAAAGCTTTTTTTTCATCTTTAATATTTATTCCAATACCATATAAATAACAAGTTGCTAAGAAATTTTGTGCCAAACCATTTCCTGCATGAGCAGATTTCGAATATAAATCAAAAGCCTTCACTTCATCTTTATCAATTCCTATACCTTTTAGATAACAGATTCCCAAATTGATTTGTCCAATTAAATTTCCTGATTTTGTTGATTTTAAATACCATTCAAATGCTTCCTTTTCATTTTTATTTGTTCCTATACCATAATAATAACAATAACCCAAATTATTTTGAGCCATTGAATTTTCTGATTCAGCAGCTTCCAGATATGATTCTAATGCATACACTTCATCTTTTTCTATACCTATACCATTCTTAAAACAATAACCTAAATTAAATTTACCTACATCACAACCTTTACTTGCTGATTCAAAAAACGATTTAAATACATCGTCATTTATATAATATGATTTATGTGTTCCTACACCATAATAATAACAATAACCTAAATTATTTTGAGCATCTTTTTGTCCTAAGTTACCCAATTTTAAATACAAATTGAAAGCATTTTTTTTACTTTTAATTGTACCAATACCATTTAAATAACAATATGCCAAATTAAATTCTGCTAAATTATTTTGTTTAGAAGCAGATTTTGAAAACCAATCAAATGCTAACTTTTCATTTTTATCTATTCCTATACTATTTAAATAACAAATTGCTAAATTATTTTGAGCCAAAGAATTTCCATTTTCAGCAGATTTCAAATACCATTCAAATGCTTTCTTTTCATTTTTATCTATTCCAATACCATTTAAGTAAAAAGTTGCCAAATTATTTTGAGCCAAAGAATTTCCATTTTTAGCAGATTTAAAATACCATTCAAATGCTTTCTTTTCATTTTTATTTATTATTTTACCATTTTCATAATAATCAGCTAAATTATTTTGTGCATCAGCGTTACCTGATATAGCTAATTTTAAATTTAAATTAAATTCATCATTTTTATTTTTATTAATTGTATATTTATTTTCAGATTTTAAAAACCATTCAAAAGCTTTAATTTTATTTTTTGTTGTTCCTATTCCATCCATATAACAAATTCCTAAATTATATTGTGCCTTTGAATTACCTTTTAAAGCGGATTGTTTAATATTTTCAAACTCTTTTTTACTTATTTTTTTCTTATTAATAATTGAATTATTCATATTATAATTTGTATTTTCTTCTGATTTTAACTTTTTAATACTATCTTGAATGATATTATTATTAATACATATATGTTCTTCTTGTAGTTCCATTTGTTTATCGATATTAAATTCATTATCTTTTAATATCTTCATCATATTGATGGTATTGAAAATAATAATATCTTTATAATAATATAATGATAAGAAATATTTTCCAATAATTATATTATTATTCTTTAATAAATTAAATTCATTTCTATTTTCTTCAGTTAAACATAATTTATTATTAAAATCATCATTTAAAGTAAGTGAAGGTATTTCGTCATCGTCATCGTCATCGTCATAGTCATCATCATCATTATGATTTTTTTTATTAACGGATAAAAAATATAAATCCAAAGCAGATTTTTCATTCATCATACAACCTATACCAAATTGATAAAAGAATCCCATTAAACTTGTAAACCAAATAAAATTATTATTATTATTTTTATTATTATTATTATTATCATAATAAAATTTCAAATCTTTCATTAAATCAAAAAATTTTTTTGGATCCTTTTCATTAATTTCAAATTTAAGTTTCATCCATTCAACAAAAAATTTTTCAAAATTATTAAAATCTTCTGTTTTAATAATTTTATTATGAAAATCTTTTAAAATTTTTTTTAAGAAAATTTCATCCTTTGAATTAATAATAATAGTAGTAGTGGTGTGACTGATGTCTTTGGTGGTGGTAGTAATTGATAGGTCGGTCTTATTATTATTATTGTTATTTGACATTGTGATTATTTATTTATTTATTAGTTTATGTTTACGACGTTTTCTGTTTTTTTTTAAAAAAAAAAAAAACAACGAAAGAGTATTTTTTTTTTAAAAAAAAAGGAAAAAAAAATTATTTCTTCATTTAAAAAGATATTATAATGAAAAATGGAATTTCCTAATTAAGAAAACTGAAAGTGAAAGAGTGACAATTGTTTACGGAACAAATATTCCACAACTCCACAAATTGTTCGTCGAATAAAAATTTCGAACGATTGTACCTTGTTTATTTGTGGCGCAGTTACTTAAGAGTTTATTTTATACTTGTTAAAAAAGGAAGGAATTTATCGTACTTTAATGTAAATCAAAATTAACGTCTATTTTTTTTTTTTTGGTTAAAATTAAATATAATTATAAAGTTACCTTAATCTTAATACTTACGGGACGGCAATTACCAAAGTTATTAAACTTTGATAATTACCCGGACATATTGACGATCACATTTGTAATCATTTGTAATAATTACCAATAAACGATCATTCATGATTAAACAAAGCACCTTCAATGACAACAATATATACTGTACCAATTTACGTTTTACTATAAATAATACAAAGTTTATTTAAAGGTAACACAGTTTTTTTAATTGCGCTACCGAGAGTATACTTTATTGAATTTCTTTGTTAAAGGTTCGGTCTAAGCAATATTATGTATTTAACATGATATACAATATGAATTCTCTTTTATTTACGAAGATTTCTTAATTATAAAAATCCTCAGCTGATTTTCGAGAGTGTATATTGACAAACAAAAGGTAAAATGTCTATCGATGCACCGTTCGGATACCGACTTATTCTAAAGAAAAACAATGATTAATAGTGATAAATTGTTACCGATTAGTTAACTAATTCAGCATTAAATATTTGGTTATCTGATGTGAAAAATGCCAGTTAACTGAGCCGCGAAAATTAAATGTTTTAGCTAGCCTGGCTGCTGATATTATTATTTATTTCACATTTTATATCAATAAATAAAAGTAATTTTGAAAGAATTACCACCAATCCTGTATTTTTTCTGCAAATAAAATTTTTTTCACTCTTGTCCTAACATACGCTAGTTTGCACCAATAAAATTTCGCAAAAAAATATTATAAAAGCCGAAGTTTCCAGTCACGTTACTCTGTCTTATCAAAGGAGCGGCGAGCCTATTAGTGAGCTCAAAAAGCTATTAAAGCTGAGAAACAAAAAGAGTTCGACAATTTTCTTGCAGACAGGCTCAAGTTATGGAAGGTAGATGATCTCTTGAGCAATCTCACATAACAAGACCAGCCTACTTCATGGAATGTACGCAAGCCAATGAAGGAAACTGTCATTAAGCTGTCGAAGCCTCTATTTGTTGCGTACGAAGGTGCGGGTATGAAAGACGGTGAGACGATTAGTTGAGACATGGCGAAGAAGGTCCTTGGCCATATTATCTCGTTGTCGGAGGAGTCACAAAAGGCGGATTCAGCTACTAGCGTAGATAAAAGAGAGGGAAATAAAAAGGGTGAGGTCATTGAACAATCTTGGGAAAAATCAGATACTGTATATACAGTAGGTCGTAGGTTTAGTATAGAAATTCGTCATGTATTACGGTTAAGGTCCCGAAACATTGTATTTATTTTATTTCGCACTTCTAATCTGCACGCATCCCAAGTTTGTATTTATCTTTATCCGTATTAATAAAAAATTTATTTTTACGAAAACACGCACACACGTTTAAATTCAAAAGTAAAACTTAAAGCTTTTTATTATATCTTTGCATGATAAAGGAGCCAGCGTAGTGGATGTTTCAAGGAGGAATTTGCCGCCTCGCTAAACGAGAACAATTCCTTCCTAATAATGCTACTGCAATTACTCGCAAAACTAACTACTCTTTCCCCCTCTTTCTCAATCCATGATATGATTTTATGATTTTTATCCATTGAAGTCTTCCTTGGAGTCCTTTGATGTCGATAGAAACTGGCCAATGTGTCAGGACTAAGTCCGATCTCATCAGATAATATATTATACATTTGTGAAGGAGACGCTTATCTTTTTTTCTTCTTTGGTCGTGAATTCGACCGAATACATTACAATCTCTTTACTGTACTCGGAACGTTGACCTGCGAACACACGACTTGTAAAAAAAAATCGATTTGATCCGGCTAGAAATAGGTGCAGAACAATAGGCGTCGCATTAAATCATGTGAATTAGATTTACCTTGAGAAATTGTCATTCCTCCATTCATTGTTCATTATTTATCACCAGGATCGTTCTTTCAAGTTCATTATTGAACCGATGTTTACGAAAAAAGGATAGTGCTCCTTCTAGGACTGCGTATGTAATAAATATCATGTTTTACGTGATAAAAAAAAAATATTTGTTTTATTGTTTTTATTGTAACTTATAAAAAGTTTTTTAAAATTTTTATTTAATTAGATCATTATTTTCTTTTAAAAATAAGAGATCATGAATAGTATTAGGACTTAAACGGTTTCTTTTATCAGTAATAATATTACCTGTATCTGAAAAACCGTTCAGATGACATTTCTTTCACAGTTTCAGTTTCACTTATTATGATATTGAGGATGATTTATAGGTAGCAGGAAGTGTAGGTATAGTGAAATTTCTGTATCTACTGGGGATTTATTAGATTGTTGCAAAGACATATTTTAATTGAAAAAATTTATAAAAATAGAATTATTGTAAGGAGGAGTGTAGTTGGAGATAAAGATTGCAATATAGAAGTTTCTAATAATTCAATTTATTGTTTTGTTTTGTATCTTCAATTGGTTCGTTGAAATATTTAAATCTAGGATTTAAAAAACTAGTAATACAATCTATAATAAATGAGGAATTTCTCTTTAAGTATTCTTTCAAACAATGTAAAGTAGGATGCCATAATAAGAGAGTTGGATATGTGCTACCTGAGGCCGAAGTAAGATTTGTTGCATCTTATCATGCGTGTGACCTTATCTATTTCTAATGTGTAACTCATTTTCATTATCCCATGTCTGTAAGGCCTTATTCAATGGTTTCTTAAATATTCCATGTCTTTTGGAAAATCCATGTTACTCAACGTAACTTGTGCATCATATGCACTTTGATTCTTAACACTATGAGAATAATCATTAGAGCTTAGTCTGAAGTCCCGAAATTTGTTTGAATTCGTCAGCTTTCATCTTAACAAACTCTAATCGTAATTCTATTTTCTTTTTAACTTCCTGACGATTTCCGTATTCATATTCATCACTCTACTTGCGAAAGTCATTATAATCTAATTTCTTTGATAATTTAATAATAATCTTCCAACAAAATCTCTACATTTTCTATTAACTTCTTTCTCTCGTTCAGCTTTAACGAATTTCAATTTCAATTCATTGTATTTTACCTTCAATTCATTGTTTTCCTGATTCAAATTCTTAATTTCTTCTTCTACTTCTATAAGATTAAGTTTATTCTAACCTTAATATATATATATATATATAAAGCAAAACATAGTTTTTAGTTACATAATACATTATATACAGCGGTTTAGATGTTAAAATTCAATGTTGCTTTATTACCTTCCTCTTTTTTTTCTACACGTTTCTTTTCTCTCTTTTGTCTTCTTTTTTCTCTTCTACTGGTCATTTTATAGATTTGAAAAATCTACTTGTTAAAAAAAGAGTACAACGGTTTTGATTTCTTTAATGAAAAAAATAAATGTAAAATGGGTTTTTTTTTTTTATAAAGAAATATAAGAAATAAAGGTTTCAATAATGAATGATGAGAAATATTGTATATATAAAATCATAAAATAATAAAATATCCATAAGAAAAAAGATTACTATTAATTAGTATAATAGTGTAATTGATGATGACATGATGTACTTTGGACTAACGTTTAAATGCATTTAAAATTTTCGAGAGAGAATGAATTATATTTTATCGCTCTTAATGGGTTCCTATAGCTTATGGATAACTTCACTCCTAAGTAAAACATAATTAATTTTGCCAATAATTTAAGAAAAATCCACGCGAGTTTTTATTGATTAAAAGTTCGACTGTATATGTGAAGCAACAACGGATCTATGGGCTTTTCTCATTTATACACTGTATTTCGGTGACAAACTTTATCAACGCTAATACAGTTGAAAGGAAATTCTGATTCGAAATATAGTCCTGTGGAAATGATATCATGCCTATCTACCGAAAAAAAAATATTAAGATCCGGGCTTGGTGCTTATACCTAAAGACAAACAATTCAATATCCCCATGTTTAAGTAATGAAATTATTTTTTTCGTAAATGCTTGGCCTTAGGCATTTAGCAAAAAAAAGTAGATTCGATTTTTATTAATAATAATACATATGTCGTCAGAGGAAGCGACATGATGCAGCGAGTAAATCCTATAAAGTATGTAGTTCACATAAACATTTATATGCTGAAATCTATCTAATATATCCTTCGCGGTATTACTCTCTGCTGAAGAAATACATTGACATTCTATCAACTTCTTCTCGTTCGTGGCGCAGTTCGTTTCAAAGACCTTGCGACATCTCACTAAGATATAAACTGGATGCGGATCGAAAGATGACAGGTATTTATAAAAATCGGACAGTTATAAAGTGCATTCCCACATTTGAGTCTTCTCCATAATAATCTCCTGCACCGGTTATTCTGTTGAAGTATTTTCTTTACGAACAGAATTACATAGAGGGCAGAGTGCTGAACTATTAAGATAAATCCATCACTGTATAAACTACTCCCAAAAGATAGACAGGGAAACCGTTCTAACACCAACCTGATTACATGTTTTGATTTTACCTGACGATCCAGAGGAAAAGCGAAAAGTTGGAAATTGTTAGATTTACTAACCTCAGCTAGTATGGCTTGCGCGTCCGATTCATTAATCTGGTTTGTTTCCGAATTGGAAGGATTATCCTCGTTTTGCTCTTCGGGATCATCAGTGAAATCCAAATTGGACTTTACAGTGAAGTGATCTATAACCTTTTGGATTTCATCATTAGTAAACTTTGATATTTCATTCACACTATATGACCTGATACCTACCTTTCAAACAATTTGTAGAACTTCACGGCCATCTAAGTTTTTTTACGCAAATTATCTCTTGATACATCCGGGAGTGGCGTTCCCGATATCTTGAGATCTTTTCTTACATGTTAAGTTGCTTCACAACTTCGTCATATATTAAGCTTCTCGCCTTCTTTTCGCCAATTTTGTTTTTATCGTTCAAGGCCTTCTCCTGAAATATAAAATTTCTTCCGTAGTGATACCAACATAATATTTCTTCTTGATTTGCTTTCAATGTGCACTCTTCCGCGATAAGGGCTTTGTCACATAACTGAGCCAAACGCTGAGATATACTGCCTCCGGAATCCGTATGCATCAATAGTGTCAGGTTTCCGGACCGCGCGGTCTCTGAAATTTTAGTCTCATGATTTACTTTGGTAGGCAAAGACATTTCTTGAATCAATCCCTGTTCATTTTTTCATTCATGGCAAGTTGTAGACGCATAAATCTGCGAAATCGAAGCTGTATCTTGATTAGTCTTATCATTTCCCGATTCCTTTATCTTATCTCTTCTTCTTTACAGCTGCCCAATCAAGAAAATTTCCACTTCCTCATCCGGACGCTTCGCGTGACTTGGTATTTGTGTTAATGAGCGTGAAAGTTCAGCATTCTCAGCCTCGATCTCAGCAACTTATCTCTAAGTTCGAAAATTTCAGATTCTACTTCCTAAACTCTGCAATCTCAGCTAGGAGTTTATTATTTAATTCTCTCAATGAATCCATTATAAGTTGAGCGTTTGACATTGTTTTATACAGGTAGGAATAACTCAAAAGGTCGTCAGTATCAGTATAAAACGGGACAAAATGTCACGATCGGAATTACTGATTTATTATATAAAAAATAATTACAAGATTCGGTAATAAATAAACTTGTTACAAATGAAATGGTGTTTCTATACTAATGCCTGCCAGTGTTTCGTTCATCTAAGCTATCTATCTATATACTGACACAATATCCCAACATTGACTTTCAGTTGTCCCATCGATAATCTGTATAGATAGAAATAAGATAAAAATCGTCAATTATATAAGAGAAGCAAGCAACCAGAAATAAAGTAACCTCATAAACCTTAGTAAAGATCTCGCTGAAAATTTATGTTGTTAGCACTTCCTTGTTGTTTAATAAGGCCTTCAGAAAAACTGTACGAATAATGGTCATTAGTTTGAAATCGTTTTCTTGTAAATGTTCCGAAAAAAAATATATTCATTCCTCGTCCAAAATTTCAATAATTTCTTCGTCAAGGATTCTTTCAAACTGCAATACGTTCTTGTCAAACACGGAGAAAATAATATTACGGCTGGGTAGTCCGAGTAAAAAAAAACCGCAGAGTAATGCGCTATTACTTTTTAAAATCGTTTTGTTTCACACACGGCAAATTAGTCAGATACGGAACCAGATCGACGAAAATTTTATATAAATATGCTCTAATGAAAAAAAATTTTGTATAAATGCTCACGTATGACGCATAACTCAAAGTGAATACACGTCTTTTTTTTTTATATATATATATAACGTCCCTAAACCTTAAAAAATTTTTTCTAAGAACTCGCTCACTTACACCCGTAGATACATCATGGTTGGCTGTTTTATTCTAGGTAGCGGTGTTACATTCAACTTTGAAATCGGCAATGACTTACAGAATTAAAGAAGGCCATTTTGGAAGTTCCTTTGAAAGTATTGGGGTAAAAAACGAAAAAAAATAAAGCAAATAACGAAAAGTATGAAAAATTTCTGGAAAATCATCGTGTAGATCTCGACATTAAAATTTTATTTATTTTTAAAATTGAGACAATGACGAGCACAATGACAGGAAAAAAGAATATTTAAAAGGGTGAAAAGGTTGCATAATGATTTATGAGAAATGATCGATCACGTGAGTTTCTGTCCTCTCACGTGACGTCATCCAATGAAATCGCAAATCTGAGTTTATCTTTTTTTTCTTACTTCCTAGTTAATTCAACATTCATAGAATCTCCTCCAAAATATACATAATAGTCCAACCATCATCGACCGCCACCACTGGTAACTGGTATGTGTCTCCCAATGGTTTACCTCTCGAACAAGAAATTCGCAGATCTTTTATTAATCTGATGTCTTTCTCACGTTAGAGCAGGTCCTTCGCGAGGTATTACACGTCTTTTTTCCCGTAACCAGCTCAATTTTTTCATCTACATTTCTCTCCGAACTCTCGAAAAAAAAAATTATTTTCAATTATCTCATAACCATAACAAAACCTCCTGAAATTCATATGAACAAACTCTCGAATTTCGCAAACCTCTCAAAATCCTCGCAACTCTCGCAACCTTGCAAACCTCTACAATCCTCACAATCCTCATAACAAATTCATGAACCTCAAAACTTCCTCAAACTTAACTAAAGAAATTATTACTTACACTTCCGGAAAGAATTCAGTATGATATCAATTTATACAAATTATAGAATTTTGGATTTCTATAAAGATCTGTATAAAGAAAAGCTTGATGATGGGGAAGTTATTTTCAAGAGAGAATTTCATCTTTATCTATTTAACATCTATCTGTTGCTTTTTCGTCTCATCTCAGAAATACTAGTCTTAGGATTAAGATGCAGCCAAGCTTGCTAATGATACGACTAAAGCTTATTTAAGATATTAAAAGTTGGAATATAACAATCTCACAAAATCTCGTCCTATTTTCCCCCGTAATTTGCCAAACCAACTTAGTCGCAGTCATCAATCTTCTTACCATTATGGCCTTACGTTCATCATTTATTATGTTATACTTGTTATGATAATAATAGTATTCATTTTATTCATAAACTTTTTAGTTGCACCTGAACCTGATGAAATATTCAAAGATCTCCTCAAAAGCAAAAAACACGGTCAATTTCTTGAAACGTACATAAAAAATAATGATCCATTGCTGTTATTCGATTCACCAATAACACTTAAAACACCTGTACCTGCCACTTCAAGTAAAAAATGTCCCTCACTATTATTATACAAACTTCTCGGAAATAATAAAAACCAATTGCCCGAATTTCAGCTATCCAGTCCGCGATTGCCAAAGCAAAGAATAATTTATTGATTTTTAGGAACGTCTGGATGTGGAAAACGAGGACTTGTTATGAATTACTATGCGAGAACTGGGGGCTTTATTTTGTTGCAACAAGAAAAGGAAATGGAGGTTCAGTGACATTATTGAGACAATCGAAACTCTCCTTAGTGAGAAATTAACACAAAATCTTGAAAATATTGTGTGTTGTGCAATTTTTTCTCGACTTCTTATATTATGGCATTGTATGGACAGTGCATCAGAATTCAATAAACAACGTTGGCTCCTAATACAAACTTAACAAAAGATCTTTATGAATATGATGATGAAATATTTCTTGAACTTATGTTGCGACTCAATACTTGCACACTATTGTCTGTAATGACTTGCATTGGTAAATTATACCAAAAAATCCAACAAAAATCAAGCGACAAAAAGAAGTTTATAATTATCCTTGATGAGACGCATGCTTTTGAAGATACATTAAGTGGAAAATTCAAATCACGAAGAAATAATATAAACGATCACTATTGTCTCCCGTAGTTCAGTCTTTTAGAGAACCAACAGCATCAATGAAAAATCACTGTATCACCTGAGAAACGTCCAACATTTTATTTCCCGGATGATCGTTGTGGTCCTGATCTAATTTTCTTTGTTAGATTTGAGCAAGTTGAGGTTCCGGTTTTTGTTCAAGTGAAATTGCGTTATTCGGTTAAAACAATTGCAGGAGCTCTCAGCACGATCGATCCAAAAATGTTTTACAAAGCTAAGAATGGAAAAATTTTTCAAGAAGAATTAAATACGCCTATAATCAATAAGATAATACAAGTTTACGTTACAAATAATGAACCATATGATCTAAGGAATAGATCAAACCAGCAACAGGTCCTGGGATTATTGATTATAAAAATGCATCGACTGTCTTTCAAGAAGATCATCTACGATTTTTTTATGCGCTTAAAAATATAACTAAGAGAAACAAAGTAGATGAAGAGGGGGAAGATAGTAAACCAGGAAAAAAGCGCGAGTGTTAATTATTATCAGTAAAAATTATTTTTGTTTATGTAGCTTGATGACATTAATCATAAATAAAAAAATAATGATACATTATATTTTCGTGCTTTTTATTATAAACATGAATTTTATTATTTCAAAGTTCAAACATGATTTGTAGTCAATTTTTTCTAAAAGAATAAAAGCCAAAAATCTTTCATGGTAAAGTAGAAGCAAATATATGGCATGCTTGCGGATCCTAGAAGATTAATTGCGAGCCCGTAACGCCATAATATTTCTTGGAAATTATTCCACCTATTACCCATATCTACAAAGTCTATATAAAGGATTAAGTTCCGGTCACGCGGAACGAAAATCGTTTTTTTTAAAAGAAATAATTCTCGAATAAGCTGATCAGAAATAATGTCTCGACATAGAGGGTAGATTCTTTTGTTTCTTTTTATTTCTTTAATATTTGCTAATTCAAGAGAACTTTTTCGAAACAAGACCTGTATTATAATTCCGAAGTTAGTAAGAGATAAAAATAAAATAGTCCCGCAGGAGTCACTTTTGCCATTATACTTCATTTTCATAATATACCACTCTGCGCTGTAATCGAAAGATTCATTTCTCAGTGCATTATAGCAGTATGTAATAATTTTATCGTTGTCACACTGTCACATAATAGATGCAACCGTGAAGAATCTTCACGAACAAAAATTACGTTAGTATTCGGGTCAAAATTTGCGGTCTCATCTTCTGATGAAGAAGAAATAAAAGAAGGTAAAAAGCGGGTTATAGGTAAACAAGGTGATCAGGAGTGAAGCAGAAGAAGAGAGTGACAGTGAAGGGTGGACAGTAATAAGTATTAACAAAAAAAGGGGTGGAGTTATGGAAAAGGTAAAGGAGGTAGACGTAGGCATATTAACAAGTAGTTTCACTTTTTGTACTTTAATAATAATTATGTCAAATGTAGTTTAGTATTTAAAGTTGACCGAGCGGTAGGCCGAAGCGCCCGGAATGTATTTCTTTTGTTTAATCTGTAAATTGTTCTCTGTTCCCAATTTGCTTAATAAAGAGATGCGCTTACGCGAGTTGAAAAAAAAAAAAAAAAATTTAATGTGAAGGAATTTTTAATGACATTTTGCAAAAAAACTAACACGTTTAATATTTAACGTGTTTAAAATTAACTGTCTGAGGCTGTGTAACATGATTCCCATGGAATTTGCAGAAATTTATCCCAAATTTTACATTAGTAATACTGTACAATTCCGCGTAACGGTAAAATAACCCCCATCCCTGGACTGGTAAGATTCCCAATTTTTGCTGGGTGCAAAATTTCCTTTTTTGGATTTGTGTAATATCACAATAAGAATGCGCTATTTCATCGTCCATAATTTTATACTTTATTTACTCTTTCTTTTTGGTTTAGAAATCAGTATTTTACAATTATTTTTTATTTTTCAATTACAAATTTGTTTAACATCATACTACATATGACAGTATTTACATGTAGAGCCTTTAGGAGTTTAGGCTAAAGAAAAATACGATCTTTTTAATAAAGATGTATTTTTTATATCGCTTATATTTCGTTTGACCTGGTTTATCGGGGACATTTCAATTTATTGATTTGCTCTAATATTTAGTTTAGTATTATTGTTTAGTTTTTTTAACTGTAACTTATAAATCAAACCAAAGGCATATATGTAATTTCCAAATTTCCAAAGTTTTAATAAATTATCGTTAACCAGTAAAAAAAAAAAAAATTTTATACTTTATTTACAAGATTCTAATAAAATATATATCATACAGTAGTAATAAAGCAAATAATAGAAATTTATTTTGAATATTTTGTAAATTTCTTTCTTCTCCTTCATTTAGTTGTTTTAATCTATAAAAATGAATTATTAAAGTGATTGTTAATGCAAATTATCAACAGTCGATTAAATTACCGACATCAAATAATATAATTATTAAAAATTTTTATCTCTAATCCTAATCCATACCCTAATCTTAATCTAATCTAACCCTAATCCAGGGACGATGATTTTTTGTGTTTCACAGAATTTCACAGAAACCACAGAATAGGGCTATGATTTAGGATACGCAATGCAATCATAATAATACTAGCCCTATAAAGAAATAAATACGTTTTTAATACTTAGAGATATGTTTTTAATACCGAAAAACATGTTTTTGATACAGAGAAATAAGAAAAATGCACAATTTTATGCTGTATCTCGAATAATACGTTCTTTATGTAAAATTATACTAAAAAAGCTAATATTTGAGATATGGAATTGTGTATTTTTCAATATTAAAAACGTATTTATTTTTTTTATAGGGAAGCACTAAGTCTATACTTCACATTAAATTGTTCTTAAAATATTATTTGAACTCTGAGCTCATTGTTATACAGATAAAATGATAGTTCCATATAGTATACACTTTTTAAATTACATTGTCAAACATACATATTATTTGTGACACCTACATGTATAACTAAATACAACTGACAAAGGTCAAATGCTAGACATATATAAATTAAAATTTGAAACTCCTAGCTATATATGTCTAATCATATTGATATAATTTTTTCAAAAATTGTATCATGCCATATTTGGCAAAATGATTTAATTTTTATCAACCTTGTCAATGTGACTAAAAATAAATTCAGTTATATTTTACTTTTATATTCAATGTGTCAGTTCAAGTCATACTATTTATTCAAAAGTTTATTTTTTATTTAAAGCCTCTTCCCAATTGTATTAAACAAGTGATTTTGGCTTTATTTACGATTTACCACCAACAAGAGGTTTTGATTTTATCATCTTCAAGAGATTTTTATATCTGAAAGCTATTCTGGTCAAAATGGTAAGTCTCATAAACTCTGTATTATTTTGAATAGTAATATTAATAACTAAATAATAAGATTTCATATTGTGGATTCTTAAACAGTTGCCATGATATTATTGCTACTACTTTAACTTTCTTTGATGATGAACTTGATTGTATTTGGGTTACTCATTTTTTTTGCATGAAGGAAAAGATTTACCTGGATTAAAATATAAGGTGTGTTTTTTTTTATTTTGCAAAGTAAGGGTAACCCCTAAGTTAGATTTATTTGATTTAGGGGAATTACTGGATTTGACAAACTTTGGTAACCACCCCAAGGCTCTCAGTTCAGGTGCCCTAACTTTGTAGTTAATAAAAGTCTGATTATTCTGGAGGAGGAATTTGCTATGTACCTTCTTTTATTACTAAATAAAAAATATTGCACACTACTAATAATCTCTTCTTATAACAGCAGGTATACATAGAACATTCACATTATGCAAAAACATTAAAAATATATACTGTAGGATTAGACATTGGCATAGGAATTTTAGCAACAGCCTATCACGAGAAAGTCCCAAATCTTTGTATTTATTTTTTAACTGTATTAATAAGAATTCCAGAAAAAATGTTTTGCCTAAAATCACGTGTTTATTTTTTAATGTTAATGGACTACAAAGATTATGGCAACATCCCGAGCTTTCAAGCAAGAAAGTCATATGATAGTTGATCTCATGCAGGGTGAAAATAATAAAAAAAGTCGATATATATCTTTGAACAAATGAGAAGTAGATCACAATAAACTTTTCTGAATTGTATATCTTAAGTCCAAATATTTCACTTTGATAATTTGAGTAGGGGAATATTTTACTTTCATTTAGCAATTATCATGTAGAATAGTAAATGCTATTTTTTTTTTGTTTTAATAAATCTTTTTTAGCTCATATTATCTTTGATTCCGTTATCTTTTCTTTTTCTCATTTTCATTTTCATTTTCTTTGAGCCTTTAACAGCACTTGTATCACTTGTATCACTCACTTGCATCGCTTGATTTTAAAGTTAAAGAATCTAAAAAGAAGTAAGTTAATAAAAAAAGTAGCGAAACTTCACTCCCATTATAATAATACTTGTGGGCTACTAGATTCCTCATTCACGACACCATCTTCTGCAATCCATATTACTCGACTTACGTCAATACTAAAATGAAAAATAAAAAGAAGTCTTACGAAAACTTCTTGACCAACTTCTACGATGTGCCCTATGAAGCCACAAAAGTATCTATTCATATACGTATCTCGCTTCCGCGACTTACCCGTTCAAAGATCAAGTCAAAATCGTACCAGAAGCTGATCGAAGGGAAGAATGGACGCGGAAATCTTGACTATGGTATTGAATCAGTACAACTGGGAGAAAAATTGGCCTGATTGAAGTAAAAAAAGATGACTTTAAAAGCAGGGCTTCGCACAGGCCACTGTACAGATGGAATCTTCACTATCTAGCAAACGCAAATCGGACGAAATAGATGACGAAAATGGCTTGGATAAAGTATGGGATTGTAAAAGATGCAGAGAAATGGTACTTCATGGAATGTACGAGGGGAAATCATCATTTAAGTTGTCGATTCCCTTATTTGTTGTGTATGAAGATGAGGATACGGAAGACAAGGCGGAGAAGGTCCTTGGTCATATTATATGGTTATTTGAAGAGACACAGAAGCAAGTGGAAGCTTCTCAAAGTGGAGTAAAAGGGTAAGATTAACGGGAAATCTTGCGGGAAAGGCACCTCTGGTACCAAGTCGAACTAGAATCCCGGCTTCTCCCACATGCTCGGAGTCAGAATATTTTTTATAGAGTATGTAGCTTTATTTAGCATAGAAACTTCATGTATCACGATCCTTTGTATTTATTTTTCGCATGTTAAAAATTTTTTCTTGGCAAAATTTCGTGAAATTTTTTTTTTTTTTTTTTTAACCAAACTTTATTAATATTATAACAATTATTGAAACACAATTTGTTATAATTTAGACATAATATATCTCATAATAAAGTATCTATCTACAAACTAGTCTAAAATACTATAATTTAATGCATACTTAGAACTTCTAAATTTAACTAAATTATGATACGACCATAAATCAGAAATATCTAAACTAAACCATAAATTTTTCCTATGCTCCATATTTGCCAGGTAACTACCCAGCCATCTTTGTGACACATCATATATAAATTGATTTCTATGTTTACTATTTGACCCTATAGATGGTAAAGAAGATGTCTCTAATTTACAATTCTTTTTCACTATCCTAGAGATACCGACACTTCGTTCCCATTTATTAACCTCCTTACACCTTTCTACCCAAATAACATCTCTCGCTAATATATGTATGTCTCGAACAAACCCTTTAATTGCTGTTGTAAAAATTGGATCACTAATATTTAAATATAGACGTGAATTAATCATACCTTTAATTGCTTCATGAAAAATTCTACCATTAAATATTGAATATGACCGATCATTTAAAATTTGTAAAAGTCTTGCATAATAATTGAAATCCAATCTAAAATTCTGATTATCCAATTTTTAAATTTCGTGAAATAAGTTCACACGAAATTCATAAATTCATTCTATTTGTTACTTTTGTGATCATCAGCAATCAGCTGGTTTTTTCGAACAAATTAAATATTTGTTGATCGCTGCTGTGCAACTGTAATACGTAATATAAGGCCGCCCTTTTTTAAAACAAAAAAAAAAATCCTTTTACTCTGTTTAAAGATAAAGCTAAAATGGAAGAATTTAAGCTCAGTGATGATGTAATTGAACAAATAAAAAATTTTAATCGTTGGAGTTTAACAGATGAACAAAGATTGTTAATTGATAAGCTAATATTAAATGAAGAATTAAAAGAACGTTATAAAGAGAATGGTTTATGCAAAGATTGTAAGCAGCCTAAAGTTTCTGATTATTGGTGTCAATGCAAATTTCAACAAAATTTCAAAAATTGGACTAGTGGAAATAATAAAGTTGATAATTTTATTCAAAAAACACAACTTAAAGCCAAAGTAGGTCGTGAAATGTTGGAGTGGATTGAATATGATAGATTTGAAAATGTTGAATATTTGGCCAAAGGAGGATTTGGAACTATTTATAAAGCAATTTGGAAAGATGGATGTATATATGAATGGGATTCTATAAATGATCAATGGGAGAGAATAGAATCTTTGGAAGGGCATAAAAATTTTCCAGTTGTTTTAAAATGTTTACATAATTCTCAGGATATGACATCCGAATTTTTAAGAGAAGTAAGTTACTTATTTGTATATAATTTTCAAATTACTGTTCCATTATAAATGGTAAATTTATTATTATTTATTATTATTATGGATTCTTTTTTAGATTGAATCACATACTATGATCGTTTCAAGTCGTGTAACTCGATGTTATGGAATTACTAAAGATCCAGAATCTAATAATTTCATGATGGTAATGCGATATGCGAAAGATGGTAGTTTAAGACAATATTTAAATAATATATTTAATTCAATAGAATGGATTGATAAGTTACAAATTTTAAGAAAGATTATAAAAGGCCTCAATATTATTCATGAAAAAGGATTGATTCATCGTGATTTTCATTGTGGTAATATGTTAAAAGATGATAGTGATACAATTATTTCTGATTTAGGATTATGCCAACCAGCAAATGTAAAATCTTCCCAAAATAATGAATATGAAAAACAAGTATATGGAGTATTACCTTATGTAGCGCCTGAAGTTTTAAGAGGAGGAAAATATACTCAAGAAAGTGATATTTATGCATTTGGAATTATTGCATATGAAGTCTGTACAGGGCTTCCTCCTTATCATGATATTGCTCATGATAAAATCTTAGCTATTAGCATTTGTCAAGGGCTTAGACCAAGATCTAATTATAAAATTCCTCAACTAATTTTGGACTTAATAATTAAAAAATGTTGGCATGCAGATCCTTTAAAACGACCCAAAGCAGATGAATTATTTAAATTATTAGTTGGATTAAAACATTTTGGGAGTGATGAATTTAATAAGCAAATTGAAGAAGCAGAAAGAATTAATGAAAAGTTTGCTTCTACTTCATTACCATATAATGGTACTACTCTTTCATATACTACAAATCCTCAAGCAGTTTACACGAGTAGACTTTTAAACTTTAAAAACCTGCCTGAACCAAAGAATGCTATTGATAACAAAGATGATAATAATTCATTCGGAGAATATTCAGGTAATTAATGTATTAGCTTATTTTACAAAAGTACTTTTAATATACAATTATTTTTATTTTCTAGAATCCATAGAAGCAATAGATTTCACTAAACTCAACCTAGGTACTCATTTACATTAACTTGCTTTCTATATGATTGATTTTACCAATAATATTAACAATTTGCTTTAATAATTCGTTCTTATTAGAGGAAAACAACTAAAGAAAAAGAAAAGGAAGAAAATTTACAAATATTCATAATATGAAGTTCATTATTTGTATTTTATTACTACTACTACAGTATATGATATATTTTATTGGGATAAATTTATTAATAAAGTTTTTATAAATTAAACCAAAAACAAATAGAATGCATTATATACGTAGTATGTTATAAAATCATAATAAAATAATAAATTACATTTTATATATATATATTTTTTGACTTTATTGTATTGCTTATGATTAGTATGGTTCGATTTTGTCATCACCTTTTGCTGTATGTTAAATTGTCAAAGTATGCTGTAGTGATATAGTTTCTTAGTTTAATTTATGTATTCATTACCTTTGGAAAAAATAAGCATATTTACTGGGTGTAATCCTATGTAAGTTTGCACAGGTTTGCATAAATTTTTACACAAGGTTACGTACTATATTTACACAAATTTACGTAAGTTTACATCCCGTCACATATACACTTATTTTTTTTAAACTAAAGAAACTCTATCACTTTCAGCAACATACTTTGACAATTTGACATACAGCAAAAGGTGATGACAAAGTGGCAATCGAACCATACTAATCGTAAGCAATACATTCAAATCAAGAATTAATATATAAGGAATATTAGAAGGGTTAGATTATTTAATGTTAAATTTGAAAATGCGACTATAAAGTCATATGTATATATATATATATATATATAGAATGTAATTTATTATTTTATAATGATACTACATACGGTATATAATAGTTATACTGCATTTTGGTTTAATTTATAAAAACTTTATTTAGTAAAAGATTTTAATCATAATAAATAATATTCCAATAAAATATATAATATACTGTAGTAATAATAAAAAAAAATAGTTACAAATAATGGAATTTATATTATGAATATTTGTAAATTCACTTCCTTTTCTTTTTCTTTAGTTGTTTTCATCTATAAGAACGAATTATTAAAGTAAATTGTTAATATTATTGGTAAAATTAAACATGTACTAGAAAGCAAGTTAATGTAAATAAGTACCTAGGTTGAGTTTAGTGAAATCTATTGCTTCTATGGATTCTAGAAAATAAAAAATAATTGTATATTAAAAGAATTTTAAAAATATTTTTTGTAAAATAAGTTGATATATTAATTACCTGAATATTCTCCAAATGAATTATCATCATCTTTATTATCAATAGCATTTTTTGGTTCTGGAAGATTTTTAAAGTCTAAAAGCCTACTTGTGTAAACTGCTTGAGGATTTGTAGTATATGAAAGAGTAGTACTACCATTATATGGTAATGAAGTAGAAGTAAACTTCTCATTAATTTTATCTGCTTCTTCAGCTTGCTTTTTGACTTCACTATCATCTTCTAAATCATCTTCTAAATTATCTAATAAATTATATAATTCTTGTATTTTAGATCGTTTTAAAGGATCTACATCCCAACATTGTTTAATTATGTCCAAAATTAGTTGAGGAATTTTATAATTAGATTTTGGCCTAAGCCCTTGACAAATACTAATAGCTAAGATTTTATCATGAACAATATCATGATAAGGAGGAAGCCCTGTACAGACTTCATATGCAATAATTCCAAATGCATAAATATCACTTTCTTGAGTATATTCTCCTCCTCTTAAAACTTCAGGCGCTACATAAGGTAGTACTCCATATACTTTTTTTTCATATTTATTATTTTGAGAAGATTTTACATTTGCTGGTTGACATAATCCTAAATCAGTAATAATAGTAAAATGATCATTTCTTAACATATTACCACAATGAAAATCACGATGAATTAATCCTTTTTTATGAATAGAATTGAGGCCATTTGCAATCATTCGTAAAATATTCAACTTATTTACCCACTTTATGGAATTAAATATATTATTTAAATATTGTCTTAAACTGCCTTCTTTTGCATATTGCATTACCATTATGAAATTATTAGTTTCCGGATCTCTAGTAATGCCAAAACATCGAGTTACGCAAGCTGAAAGAATCATAGTATGCGATTCAATCTAAAAAAGGATCCTTAATAATAAATAATAGTAAGTTTACATTTATAATGGAACAGTAGTTTGAAAATTATATACAAATAAGTAGCTTACTTCTCTTAAAAATTCGGATGTAAAATCCTGAGAATTGTGTAAACATTTTAAAGCAACCGGAAAATTTTCATATTTCATACTACCCCACACTTTACTTCTCTCCCATTGATTATTTTCAAAATCCCATTTGCTTATAAATCCATCTTTCCAAATTGCTTTATAAATAGTTCCAAATCCTCCTTTGGCCAAATATTCAACATTTTCAAATTTATCATATTCAATCCACTCTAAAATTTCCTGATATTCTTCAACTTTAAGTTGTATTTTTTGAATAAACTTATCAACTTCTTCATTTCCACTAGTCCAATTTTTGAAATTTTGTTGAAAATGCTTAGCATTACATGACTTACACCAATCATAATAAGTATTAGGCTGTTTACATTCTTTGCATAAACCATGATTTATATAATGTCTTTTTAATTCTTCATTTAATATTAGCTTATCAATTAACAACCTTTGTTCATTTGTTAAATCCCAATAAGAAAAATCTTTTATTTGTTCAAATACATCATCACTGAGCTTAAATTCTTCCATGTCAGCTTTATGTGTTTAAACAGAGTAAAAGGATTTTTTTTTTTTAAAAAAAAAGGGCAGCCTTATATTACGTATTGGCAACGATCGACAAATCTATTTTAATTTGGTCAAACAAAGGCGTTAAAAAATCAGCTGATGAATACAAAAGTCACGAATAAATCTTGGTAAGAAATTCTTTTTTTTATAGGTTCTGACAGAAATTTAGGAATACAGTAATTAAATAGAAATACCTTATAATACAAATTTCACAAAAAATTCTTTATGGATCATCTAGTACCAAAATTACTATTTGATTATCTTTTGTTATTACAATTATATTGTACAAATTACTGTACATAGACTTAAAGCAACTGGTAGCAATTGGATAAAATATTTTACAAAAAATCTTTTGATATGATAGCAATTTTAACTATGATTTTAATTATGTTTATTCATAATGCAAGATTTTCTAATAATAATATTCTCTATAATTGATTTAATACTATATCTTTATCAAACTACGATTCAATCCCAGTAAATAGTTTTTGTATAAATTTGTACCAAATGGGCTCATCCATATATAATTGGCTTTAGATTGGCTTAAATTTTGATTAATTTTTGCATAAATTTGAGCTAATTTTGAGCCAATGAGCCCGTTTGGTATAAATTTATACAAAAACTATTTACTGGGAATGAATAAATACAATATATAAGAAACTTTGTCATTATTAAGTAAAGGGAATTTAATGAATGAACTCATTTATAATATAATAATCATCGTTAAATTAATTATGTTTAACGAAAGAAAATAGAAAAATTTTGACTGCTGATAAATAAAAATAATCATACTTAACAGAATTAAAGTTTTCCGTACATTTTAACATCATTCTTTCTAATAATTTTGACATTTTATTGTTTTGTTTATTTCCTTTAATGCTTTCAAAGTAGTATTTAAACTCTTATGGTAAATCTTTTACTAATGATGCAAATACATATTCAAAATATTGTATCTTAATAACGTCATAAATTTTATGCTTAATTCAGTTAGTAGGTTGCTCTTTAGAATAATTATTATATTATTGATGTACTACTATCTATGGACAATGATTATAAAAAGATATCGCTATATTAATAAGAAAAGAAGTTATCTCTAAAATATTAAAATTAAAAAAAGTATAATTTCTTAAATAAATTACTAATAACGATATTGATTTTGCCAAATGTATCATAATTTACATAATTACGAAATTAGAATGGATTATTTTAGTTTGCTAACTATAAAATGAATAAGTGAGGTTCTTCATTCATATTACATACTTAATAATAATACAAAGAAAAAAAGTTAGAATATTACCTAAGCAAAAAACATAAATGTACGTGAATAAGTAAATATGCTTATTTTGTCCAAAGGTAGTGATTACATAAATTAAACTAAAGAAACCATATCACTTACAGCATACTTTGACAATTTAACATACAGCAAAAGGTATGACAAAGTGAACAATTGAACCATACTAATCATAAGAAATACATTCAAATCAAGAATTAATATATAAGGATATTCAGATAGAAGGGTTAAATTATTTAATGTTAAATTGAAAATGCGATTATAAAATCAAAAAATATGTATATAAAATGTAATTTATTATTTTATTATGATTTTATAACATACTACATATATAATAAGTTATATAATGCATTCTATTTGATTTCGGTTTAATTTATTAATAAATATATTCCAATAAAATATATCATAATGTAGTAGTAGTAATAAAAAAAAAAATAGTAAATAATAGATACAAATAATGAAATTTACATTATGAATATTTGTAAATTTTCTTCCTTTTCTTTTTCTTTAGTTGTTTTCATCTAATAAGAACGAATTATTAAAGCAAATTGTTAATATTATTGGTAAAATCAATCATATAGAAAGCAAGTTAATGTAAATGAGTACCTAGGTTGAGTTTAGTGAAATCTATTGCTTCTATGGATTCTAGAAAATAAAAAATAATTGTATATTAAAAGTATTTCATGAATACTTTTGTAAAATAAGCTAATACATTAATTACCTGAATATTCTCCGAATGAATTATCATCATCTTTGTTATCAATAGCGTTTTTTGGTTCTGGCAGGTTTTTAAAGTTTAAAAGCCTACTCGTGTAAACTGCTTGAGGATTTGTAGTATATGAAAGAGTAGTACCATTATATGGTAATGAAGTAGAAGTAAACTTTTCATTAATTCTTTCTGCTTCCTCAATTTGCTTATTGATTTCATGAACACTCATAAATTTACTTGAATCATATAATTTATATAATAAATTAGATAATTCATTTGCTTTAGGTCGTTTTAAAGGATCAGCATCCCAACATTGTTTAATTATGTCCAAAATTAGTTGAGGAATTTTATAATTAGATTTTGGCCTAAGCCCTTGACATATACTAATAGCTAAGATTTTATCATGAGCAATATCATGATAAGGAGGAAGCCCTGTACAGACTTCATATGCAATAATTCCAAATGCATAAATATCACTTTCTTGAGTATATTTTCCTCCTCTTAAAACTTCAGGCGCTACATAAGGTAATACTCCATATACTGTTTTTTCATATTCGTTATTTTGAGAAGATTTTACATTTGCTGGTTGACATAATCCTAAATCAGAAATAAATGTATCACTATCATCTTTTAACATATTACCACAATGAATATCACGATGGATTAATCCTTTTTCATGAATAATATTGAGGCCTTTTGTAATCTTTCTTAAAATTTGTAACTTATCAGTCCATTCTATTGAATTAAATATATTATTTAAATATTGTCTTAAACTACCATCTTTCGCATATTGTATTACCATCATGAAATTATTAGATTCTGGATCTTTAGTAATTCCATAACAATGAGTTACACGACTTGAAACGATCATAGTATGTGATTCAATCTAAAAAAGAATCCATAATAATAATAAATTTACCGTTTATAATGGAACAGTAATTTGAAAATTATATACAAATAAGTAACTTACTTCTCTTAAAAATTCGGATGTCATATCCTGAGAATTATGTAAACATTTTAAAACAACTGGAAAATTTTTATGCCCTGCCAAAGAATCTATTCTCTCCCATTGATCATTTATAGAATCCCATTCACATATACATCCATCTTTCCAAATTGCTTTATAAATAGTTCCAAATCCTCCTTTGGCCAAATATTCAACATTTTCAAATCTATCATATTCAATCCATTCCACCATTTCACGACCTACTTTGGCTTTAAGTTGTGTTTTTTGAATAAAATTATCAACTTTATTATTTCCACTAGTCCAATTTTTGAAATTTTGTTGAAATTTGCATTGACACCAATAATCAGAAACTTTAGGCTGCTAACAATCTTTGCATAAACCATTCTATTTATAACGTTCTTTTAATTCTTCATTTAATATTAGCTTATCAATTAAAAATCTTTGTTCATCTGTTAAACTCCAATAGTTAAAATTTTTTATTTGTTCAATTACATCATCACTGAGCTTAAATTCTTCCATGTCAGCTTTATGTTTAGGATTTTTTTTTTTTAAAAAAAAAGGGCAGCCTTATATTACGTATTACAGTTGCACAGCAGCGATCGACAAATATTTAATTTGTTCGAAAAAAATCAGCTGATTCCTGATGATCACAAAGTAAAAAATAGAATGAATTTATGAATTTCGTTTAAAAGAAATTGTTAGATAAAAAATTTTTATAAAACAAATATTAATATAATGGTACTCACAAATAATTAGTTTTGGTACTAGATGATCTTGGAATATTTTATTTAATTATTTTAACTTTAATACATTTTGTTATTAGATTCTATATTGGAAGGGTTAAATTAACATTATCAAAATTTAATACTATACGGGATGACCAACAGATTCACAGGTAAATACGCCAATAACAGCCAAATAAACGTCGCCTTTTGGATTAGCGTTTAGATTATCGACTGTATAAATAATTTGAATTGTGTAACATAAAACTCATGATGTATCCAGCATTTTCTTGCCCAAAAAATATTTTTTTGCATTTTTTTTTTTTTGCATTCAAAATAAAAATTTACGTTATTCCACTTTTGTGAACTTATTTCACGAAATTTTGCCAAGAAAAAATTTTTATTAATACATGCGAAAAATAAATACAAATGATCGGGACGTAGCCCGTGATACATGAAGTTTCTATAAAAAATATTCTGCTCCGAGCATGTGAGATAAGCCGGGATTCTAGTTCGACTTGGTACCAGAGGTGCCTTTCCCGCAAGATTTCCCGTTGACCTTACCCTTTTTACTCCACTTTGAGGAGCTTCCGCTGGCTTCTGTGTCTCTTCAAATAACCAATATATTGTTATATCAGGTTTTCTACCTTGGGAACGTCCGTAAATTGCTCGGTGTTCTCTTGAAGTTAAGCTTTCAGCATTCGCCCTATTACGGAACAAGTAAAAATAAAGAACAATGACAATGACTAAGTTTCAACAAAATTTTGTTACCAAACGATCTCATATTTCGGATCACGGAATATTTCTTTGAAGGTGTCATGTATATAGTCATGTACAACAGTATCCTCATTTTTATTCCTTAAATGTGGATACATGTGCATCCTTTCGTAGCTTGAAAGGAAAAAAGAAAGTTATTGGAGAGAAATGTCAAGAAAAAGAAAAACAAGATTGAAATCCAAGAATATTACAATGTACGTGCAACTGCTTGTGTAGCTTCGAATAAGCGCCTCTCACTGTCTGAATAAATGACTTTGTCCCGATACTTTTCCCACATATCATAGAATTTGGAACGAAACTCATCTATGTCATTTATCTCCTGTGTTTGGTTACAAAAAAAAAAAATATTAGACTATATTATCACAGGACTGCACGCGCCAGATGACAATTACCCTCTCTTATCGTCCATAATTTCCGAAAAAACTGGGCGGAATTGGTTGCTTCGTGAAGCACGCCATTTCCGATCTTCAATATCTAAATACAATGACTTCTTCGTTTTTGTCAAGTCGATAAAGTGAAGGGACCTATAGTACAAAGGATTCATTAGACAGTCAGACATCTTAACCTTAATTGCAGATTTTAAACCAACCTATACTTACAAGATTGCCTCAATATCTGACGAAAACTGAAAAATTTCGCCATCCACTAGTTTGTCAATATTAGTAATCTGATATTTGCGAAACGCGTCTGAAACATTGTAGCCTTCGATAATCCACTAAAAAAGAAAAGCAATAGTCAATACAGAAATTTTTTCCTGAAATTGATACGAATTCGTGAAAAGAGAACGGCAAACTTACATCCTTCTGCGAAGAAAGATCACAGAGTTCCTGACGTATTCTTAGATATGTGTCACGCATTACTTCTTTGTCAGTCATGATATCCCCATCCTGCATAGATTAAGTTAGTCATTGGAGAGGCGAAAAAACATGTCTGTTTTAATGCCTCATCATTTCTGTTACCTCGTTTATAATGATCGGAGGAATCGTTTTCGTATTTTCATCTTCCTGATTAGGCATACTAGGTGATTTCTGCGAAGAAGTTTCAGAGAAGAAGTTCGTAAGAGGAATAGATGATGATGATTCTTCGTCACTGAATGTTAAATCGCTATATGTTGATTTTACTTCCGTCTCACTGGCGGTACTTCGAAAGGTGAGAAGACATTTTTTGTTGCGTAAAGACAGTTGAAAATACAACTACCTTATTTTCTGGAGTTCGTGGCTGAGCCTCTGAGAGGAAGGAGTAACCGCGCGCAAAGGAGGGACTTCAACTTTGGTTTGATCTACTGTTGTTTTTGTGAAGATGTTTAGCAATAAGCAACTTTGTAGTTTGTAGTGGTAGCACGGAGTATGTGGCCTATCATATTAATTTCGTTTATACCACTAGCAATCCCTGTCCCTCCACTTTCTGAATTTGATGACGATGAATCTGGTTGTGCTGTTGCTTCTCCTGGTGCCTCTTCGCGTACTACTGGTGATAATGGCATGCCCTTCGTGGTTCTGGCCTGTTCACGCAAAAATAATAGAAAATTTTGAGAAAAATTCATGGTAATAAACCCTTATCATCATTGGATGTGATTGCATAAAATTCAATGCCTTATCAATATCCTAACCTCTCGTAGCGATAACTTTTTTTTCCGCTTTGGTTGACGGATAGATACGAAAGAAGTTAAATTGCTTTTATTTCAATTTTGTTTTAATAAAAAACAATGAATTAACGCACTGTTTATGAATCCATTATACCTTTTCTTGACTTTTGTAAGACAGGTCTGTCTCCTTTAGGTGTCTCGCAAATTTATTTCGTACAATTCGTTCTTGTTTTGTAAACTCCTCTCGCACAATCAGATCTTGTTTGAACGTCGAAGCCATAACATTTGTTGTATGCTCCTCCTTTAAAAACAGAAGAGCAGAGATGTTAGGATTTCATCACGCTTATTAGGATTTCGATAAGTCAAACATTCCATACCAACAATGCCGTGCGTTCAACAATAGTTGTAATCTTCCGTTTTTGTAGCAACGCAGAACTATCCCAGAATTCGTTTACTGAAGCCGATTTCTTCTCACTCTATGACAATATAATGATTAGTAAGTTCAAGGAAAAAGTCTATCAACATTAAATCGCAGACACAGCTCATGGTTGCAAGGACGAAACCACCCGAGACGAAACTCAAACACTCCCAGAGCGAAATCAGGGGTGCTGGGTAGTTGAACACAGGACGAAACCCCATCCAAAGACTATCACTCCTCAGACTCGTCCGCTTACAACCAAAAAAAAAAAATGTTCATGCAGGATGAAACCACCCGAGACGAAACTCAAACACTCCCAGTCCCAGAGCGAAATCAGGGGTGCTGGGTAGTTGAATACAGGACGTAACCCCATCCAAAGAGCTAAAGCTCCTCAGACTCATCCACTGCTAACAAAGAAAGAAAAATACGTAACTTGTAATGAAGCAAGTGCGAACATATCGTTTATGTTCTTTGCACTTGTCAGCAGAGAAATCATTATACTGTTGTCGATATAGTAAATAACTTAGTAGAGAACCAGTCATGGTCTATCGACCACTCGGATTCCTAACGTTTTATACTCACAGAACTGACAGAATGAAGGCAGAAACTGCTAAAAAACTTACCTTCCATTTTTCTGATTTTTTATTTTGTATTCATACGATGTTTCAACGAGATAAAAAAACTTTGGAGCAAAAAATGAGTTTATATACACGAGACGCGAAAAAAATTCCCATCATATGACATATGACAATTATGACGTGTGATCGTTTTGATGATTTTTCACTAGTCAGAAAATGATAAAGCCATTTAATGCGAGTCTCACCATTATTACAAGCCAGCAGATATGGACAAATTATTTTTCATTAATAGCAAACACAAAATTTATATTTGAGAACATAAAACAAAACACATAACACGCTTAAAAAATCGAAGTAAAGCTCTTTATTATATTTTTCATAAATAATATACGAGAAAGGGCCAACTAGATAAGTAAAAATGAAAGTAATAAACAATAGAATATCAGGTTGTTTCAAGGGAAAGATTTGCCGAGCCCTAACTCATATAATGGCAGTTCCTTCACTTCCTTCCCCAGCCACTACTCCGCATTATTATCTAAACTGCTAATATTTTCTTTACTATCTAACCATTTGCTAATTAACTTTACTGTACTATATTTCGAATCACTGTACCCATAATAAAAACTTTTTATAGTAGCCCCTCCAATCTTTTTTCCCGTAAGTTAACGAATTTCACGAGCTACCGTTTCACACATATAGTCAACTGAATCACTTCCTCTAAGCGAATTAAAAATTTGCTTAAAACGGGCCTCTATCCCATTTATTCGATTCTTTCAGATGTCAAGTAATAAATATTTTGATTGATATAAATAACATAAAAAATAATTTTATTTCCATGAAAATGCGTCGGAACTTCCGGAATAAGAGCTCGCATGTGAGGACTCCGATCTTGAAGCCCGGAATTGTTGGCCACACTGTGTTGATCAGATTCATCAGATTTGTCAGAGTTCTTTGAGCAAGAATGCCATCTACATTATGTCAAACCATATTACTTAAATAGTAGCATTGATTGTGGAGTAAAATTGCTTAGCTTAATTTAAATAATGATTCCAACCGCTTTTTATAAAAAAAAATATTTTAATTTAGTACTTGTTACGAACTTTTTGTGAAAAATACTATATTTATTTATTAAATAACATTTATTTTACAAACTTGGCAGAATTCTCCATTTTCCATAAATGTACCTTTTATTAAATTCTTTGCTTTAGCATGGAAAAAGGTTATGGTTTCGCGAAGTATTATGTAAATATACTTCAAAATGGTGATTATGACTTTACATATGCATTACATGAACATATGTTTATAGACTTATTAGAGTTTAAGTTTAAACTGGCGAATCACCAACTCAATTTACTAACTTTCATCCATTATTATTATTTTTTTATTGAGAAAGATATTAAAATTTTGCCGGTATAAGTTTTTTAGGAGTATTTAATAATTTTTTTTTTTTTTTGTATTAAAGTTTTTACGAACAAAAATTATTATTGCTTCTCATATTGAAATTTAATAACCTTCGAATAAATATTGGGTCATATTAATATTTTCCAAATTTCAAGCATTCATAATAAAAGTATCATTTTAAATATTCCTAGTATTCTCATAGCAATCTATAGTTGAAAATGCAGTAAAATGTAGTAAGTATTTATCTAACAATGCCATAATCTTTAATGAAAAGGTTACGTAAATGTAGTAATAATTACTAGTAATTAGTAAACAATCACGTGTATTACATTTGTTAGTACGAGTCAAATAAATACGGATATTTTTTTGAAAGATACAAGTAGTAAATTTAGTAAATTTTTTAAATTTTGTCAGTATTATGTAATCAGTCACGTGCGTTACATTTAGATTTATGATTTTAATTTTATTATTTTATATTTCATTTATTTGTCTAACAATTCTAAGTTTTATTAATTAATTATCACATTTTGTTATTAAAATAAAATTAACATTCATTTAGGGTAGGAATGACTTTTTAGCTCAAAGTTTGTAAAATTTGGTGACTCCTTACAATATAAAATCATTTATTACACAAAACTTATGTTACATAAAAATTAATTGATACGTTTAGGATTTTTCGTTTAATCGTAAATTGGGATAAGCTTTACTATCAACTAGAAGGGTTTTGTGTAGAAGGGAAAAATTATTGAACAGTACTACGGGCTACGGCCCCCGGAGATAGGATCTTAAACCTGAAATCCAATTTAGAAGATACTTCACGCGGTATATTTATTTCATATTAGTTAATTACCACATTACATATTTTATTACCGTCAGAATTTTGTCTCAAATATGGAAAATAATGATAATTTGATTTAGTGACAATATTCTCAGACGATTATTAAATTATTTACATCATTTAAAATTCCCATTGATCAGTAAATCCAGAAAATCTATTCTATTAATTAATTTTATTAAATTTTATAATTCTAATTTTATATTATTCCTTTTATAATTTTCCTTGTACAGTTTGCGCAGTAACATGCTTTGCACAATGCACAGTATATAATATTCTCCCTTTGCAATATACAATATTAATATCTTCAAATCAATCCTTTTTGTAATAAATTCATTAATTTCATTTTCAATTATATCTCAGTATTCTTGTTCCATAACATATTTTACAAGTGGAGCGAATGTTAAAAATGGAAAAAAGTAGAAAAGTTGAAGTACCAATATTATGAATAAATAAAAATTTAAGTAGAATGGGAATTATATACTTGTTAGTTGCTGCGTATCTTATTTATACGAGATTTTTAGATTTTTATTTATTTTTTTTTTTACGCCCTATAATCTTGTAATCCAGATAATCCTTTATGGTAAATTTTATCGGAGTTATGTGTATTACAATTATTTTGCTTTTATTTAGAAATTTATAAAGCATATTTTATTTACCTATTGCGTTATTTTTCATGATGATCTTTAATAAAATGGTACAACCTCAAAGACCTTTTATTGTAAATTTGTAATGCCATATGGCATATGGGTATAATAAAATCGACAATAAAGAGGACGACAAGAAGAACCGTATAAATAAAATTAAAATAATTGGTTAATTGTTTTAATTGTTTTTTTTCCTTACTTAAAATAATCATTTAAAAAATATTTTCATTCTTTTTAATTTTATTAATAATAGTTTTTTTTTTTTTATTTTTATTTATTTCCATTGTGATAAATAAACAATTTCTTTTTACGTTATAGTTTTTTTTTCCCATTGTAACAAAAAAAACAATTTCTTTTTACGTTATTTCAATATTTGAAAATTTCATTAAAAAATCAAATAATTTTTTTGGGGTCAACTTTCGGATAACTTCCGAAAAAAAAAAAAAAA